TTCATTAACTTTCTGTTTTTCAATAAATTGTTCTCTTTCTAAATGTTTTGCATACTCATCTTCTGACATTTCAGCTTTAATATCCGTCTCTTTGTTTTCAGGTAAAAGTTCATCAATCTTCAGAGGCACAATCGTAAGTTCAGCGCTGTGAGAACCAGCATCTGACCCAATTGTATTTGTGAATACTGCACGATAGCCTGCTTCACTGACCTCACTGAGAATCTTCCCAACAATTTGTCTGACTTTTCTTTTCACAACATGTTTCTTATGTACCTCCATTTTCAGTTCATCTTTAACTTTATCTGCTCTCTTGAATGGTAAAATAGCTTTTTTGACTTTTCCTGACAGTGCATCAACTGCTTCATCGATATTTTCTACTTTCAACTGTTGCGTATTGTGAGAAACCACTGAAACTGAAGATTTGTTGAGGGTACATTTTCTGCCTCCACTCTTAGAAATGACTGTGATGCCTTGATCATTTAGTTGATTCCTCTTGAGCATTTCAGCCATTTCTAGAAGTCGTTCTTGTCTCTCCTGAGTTCTCATTCTAAGGGATTTCCTGTGCTCTTTTAACATTTCCTTCTTGTCAGGTCCCTCCGGAATACTTTTCCAACTAACCTTTCGCTGGTACTGGGGTGCATTGTGAGCCAGCAGCAAAAGTTGCTCGTTGGTAAGACCAGATTCAGCAATGAGTGCTTTCAATTCCTGTTTCCTGCGTTTGCCCTTTTTTGTTTTGAGAACTTCTTTCATTTTTCTGATTTTGTCCTTGTTCAAATTCTCAAGCAGTTTCTTCTTAGCAATTTTTAAATCATCAATTGAAGCGTTGTCAACAGAGCTATTTGTGAACCCCCCCAGGCTTTCCTGCACAACAGACATGTTACAAAGAGCTGCCAATTTTGAGATGAGCTGCCTCACACTTTCAACAGGATCATCATTTTTAGAAGACAACACTTCTGACATATTTTCTGATTGTTTAAGCGCTACTGTGCCACTTTCAGAACTTGCACTTGGCAAAGCAGTAGAGGGAATCCTGGGTGGGCTCTTCAGTTCGGCTCCTTCAGCAGAACCTGTAGATACATTTACTGCTTAAAACTTTATATCATTTAGTCATATAAATGGGGGCTTAAACAATGAAAAGTACCAAAACTATGATTAAGGAGTAAGTAACAAACAGGACCAAAGTTTGAGAGCATAACTTAAAAGAAAAAAAACAAACCAAAAATTACTTAAAATCTTTGGATGTTAAAAAAATTATACAATCCTGAGCTTCTCTTGCTGCCTTCTATTTTTTGGCAACTGAGAAAGATGTGTAACAAAAGAACAGCAATTCACAACCTTCTTAAATAAAGAAATACTTGAAACCAGTCACAAAGGAAATAGAAAAATAAAATGTTTTAATTCCAAATTAATACAATACCAAATTCCAGTAAATAAAATGGCATGTCCCTAGTAGCAAAATGAATTATGAAGGCTATCACAATAATGAACTGCAAGAAAAGTGTTACAAAACCAATACATATGTGTCACTACGTGGTGGAATCAGGCACTTGTCAATTTTGGGGTACATGGAGTTATTGGTATCATCTTAACCCTATCCATACGTCCTGGGGTCATTTTGTACCCCCGGGGTTGTATTCTTCACATTTGTAATACGAAGATCTCTTTGAAACTTTCAGTATTTCTCAAAAAATCATTTTGACAGACTGCTATGTAAAGCGTACGGATCGGATTAATGAGTAAATTTCCTCTTTGAAAGTGGTGGCACAGAGTTCCCCCAAGTCGTATCGATACAATAGTAAAACATGACGTATGGATAGGGTTAAAGGTTGTTCATTTGCCTTGCATTTCATTTTTTAAAATATTCATTTATCTTGCATAGAAGTATAGATATTTGCGATTGAAGGGGGTGGGGTCACTTGGTTTTCCACATAAATTAGCGAGAAAATGGCCGCCAAATTTTAGTGACTTCCATAGCTCAAAAGTCCTTGACAACTGCAAATTTACATTTTGCGTGCCTTTAATAAACGTTTTTCCATAAAATCCACACATAAGAATAATTTTTGAATGGACATACAAGGTGTTGAGCCAAGAAACAAAAATTCTTATAAAAATTCCGCTGGCCGGAAAAAGATGATTTCTTCGATTTCATTATTTTGACAAGTGCCTGATTTCACCACGATGCCTCACATATCATAAACAGAGAACAGACCAAGAGTACATTATCTTAAAATACAGTCAAACTTGTCTTAGCAGTCACCTCTCCATAGTGGTCATCTGAACTAATACTAATGGCCAATGAAACCCTCGCAATTTTCCTTAAATTTAAACCGCCCATAGCAGTCTCTGTCCAACGAGGCCACTGTCAGTTATTTTAGCTTCAAGTCAGCCACAAAACCTGCTCACAGCAGTCACCTGCGACAACAGTTTTCCACCAACCTGTCCTTAGACAGAGTGTGTACATCAAATTGATGCAAAGGAGTAACTTGGTTTATCGCTTGGCTAGGCACTACCTACTAAACAAGAAGGGTAGGACTTTAGGCAGCATTTCATTTTTTAAAAGCTCTTATGTTAGATAGCAATTTTGACGGAAATGAAATGTTTTGCTTTAGCCTATCTGTTGCTGTTGGTTATTTAAATGTACCACACGAGAATAATTTCTCAAACTCTCTCCATGGCAGTCACCTGTCAATTACTGTTACTTATCTCTGTGATCGAGACTGACTTATGGACAGGTTCGACTGTACGACCATTTTCTTTCCTCCTTGAAATGAGTTCAGAGAAATGTAAAGTGATATTATTACCAAGTTGTAAAGGAAGGAATAGGATCTTGCAAATTTCTGTAGCACTATTGTAACAATTGTCAAACAAATGTAAGAGTAAATGCCCCTCTAGAGAAGTGTGTTATGTTTAATGTAGTGTTATTGAAACCTCTCCTCACACATTCAATACAGTCTGATTGAGGATTGCAAAGAGACACTACCCTAAAACAATTATATTTTGGGACAAGTTTGAACAGAAAACAAATTATGTTTTTAGCAGAACTGACCACAGAGCCTATCTTTAGCAGGTAACTATTCATGTTTGTATTAAACTCTGAGACTTTCTTTTGCAGAAGGAGAAGAAATATAAAGCATAAAGAAGAGTTTAAAAAACTCAAAGATTTCATTGTGTGTTTAAGCTCAGAGGTGCACTCTATGTAACAAACATTTATTAACTTTTGTCAAAGAGGTACATAAAAAGTCCAACAAATTCCTCAAAAGTTGTGAATAACAAAATGAACCAGCGGTTCCAATTCAGGCAAGGTCAATAGAACACAAAAGTTGCTAAATATAATACAAACAAACAAAATCCTATAAAAAAGGACTTGGTATTATATATGATCTGCCCCCATACAATCTAACATTATATTGTGCCTAAAAAGCACCATTCAGCCATGACTTCTTTCTCTAAAGTCAAATCAAATTAAAAGTTTAAGAGAATCAGTTTCAAGCACTGTTTCATGTTTCATAATTCTGAATACAAAATTATTACATGCACACCGACAGGTATGAAAATGGGCAAAAGTAGGTTTTTATCATTTGTTTTATCTTGGATTCCTCCTTGTCTAGCAATGAGACTTATCCCGTGCTTGTTAAACAACTGTATTTTAAAAAGTACACATCGCCCCATTAAATTGGAAAATTAGACAGGGGTGGAAGGAGGAGCAAGAGAGAATAAGGAAGAAAATCTTTGTTGTTTGATTCAAGAAGGAATGCAGAAGAATAAATAAAGTATTGCATCAACAAAACAATATAAACTGTAAAGATGGCATGCTAAGAATAAATTAGAGACCCCAAGGGCAAAGGCCATGGAGAAAACCAAATACCAATAAGTGTCAGTGAACTTGTTTATTTCATTCACTCTAAAATATTTCCAAAAATATTAAACAAATAAAACAGTAAGTTAAAAAAAAAACCAGTAGTACTCTGGGACATGACAATGAACATAAATTATTTTTCACAGTTCAGTTTTGATCTGTTTAAGCTCAGACATCTCATACATACATACAAATCAGAAGAAAACAATTTGCACAAGTTACTGATATTTAGACATTAACAACCTACATTTCATAAAATTAAGACTTCATACCATTCTCAACACTTCAGTTCTTATCCTTGCATGTATTTAGTAACATAACCCCCC